TATATATATATATATATTTGTAACAAGTAATGATAGAAATAATAATGATAGTAAATAATAAAATTATTAAAAAAATAAGAAATTTACAGTATGAAGAAAAATCACATATATATATATATATATATATATATATCTATAGTCAAAAATTGTGAATGTAACAAATTATCTTATAAATAGAAGACCTATAAGAGTTAATAAAGGTTAGATATTATAAGAGATATAGATAAAGAAAAAATTATCAATTCACCATATAAAAATTATTAGATGTTTAATCAATATACATGTGTTTAAAAAAGATAGGTCGAAATTTCAATTAAAAACTTTGGAACGTGTTATATTGCAATATGACAATAGAAACAAAGTTTACATGCTTTATTATCCACCAAAAAAGTAGATTATTTTTAATAAAGATATGGTGTTTTATGAATTTAAAGTTGAATATGAATTTACAAAAACAAAAGATGAAGTATTTAATGAACATACAAAATAATTTCCAAGATCAATATACTTAGGTGGTAAAATAATTAGTTTCAAGAAGCAAATAATGAAATATTTCTTAAGTTGCTATAAAAAGAAAATATAGTGATTTTTCATAAGAAGAAGCAATTAATGAAAAAATTGACTAGGACGTATATTTATTTTTCACAAGAAGAAGCAATCAAGGAGTCACCAAAAGAAAATACATCTTTGATAATAGGAGTTGATACACCAAACATAATTTTTCCAAAGAAGCAAAAATCCAAATATAACATGAATGAAACAAAGTTACAAAGATTAGAGAAAATTAAGAAACCAACTACTACATTACAAGATTATGTTTAGACAATCAAGAATACTAAATTATGGGAGTTGAATTTTTTTAATAATGCGACCAATATAAAAGAATGAGTTAATACAATTCAACAAGAAATGGATTCTATTAGAATGAATGATATATAGAAGTTGATAAATCAACCAAAATGAATCAAATCACTTGATTTGAAATAGGTGTTTGAAGCAAAGACAAATGGAGTTGAAAATATTCAAAAATAAAAAGATAGATTGATTGTAATAAGAAACTTTTAAGCTTTTGAAATTGATTAATTTGAAACATTTATTCCTATAGCGAAGTGAACAACAATAAGTTATGTGGTTGTATTAGTTACTAAAAAGGAGTAGAGAATTAGACATTTTGATATAAAAATAGCCTTTTTGTATGACATTCTTGAATAAGAAGTATTTATAAAAGTACCAGATGGTTGAAAGAATGCAAATATATATATATATATATATATATATATATATAAGATGAAAAGGCTTTGTATAGACTTAAGCAAGCTCTTAAAATTTAGTATTTAAGAATAGATGCTTATTTAAAGGAAAATTTTTTTAACAAGAGTAATGAAGATTATAATTTGTACTATTGCATTTAGAATAGAAAATATATATTATTCCTTCTATATGTAGACAATTTGATGTTAAAAAAGGATGAATATGATAATATTGAAAGAATTTAAAAAAATTAAAAAAATAAATATGAAATTATCAACTTAGAAAATGTATAGATTTATTTAGGAGTTAAATTTGAAATTACCAACCAAGGAATTTTGATGCATTAAATACAATACATCAAATAGCTATTGCAAAAATATAAAATAGAAAATTCAAATTATAAATCCATATCAATGAATATAAGAACCAAGCTTAAAAAAGACATGAAATTTTTGTTATGTGATGCTACTTACTATAGATTATTGGTAGAGAACTTAATTCATTTAAAATAATATAAGAAGATATTATCTTTGCAATATACTATTATTCATGATACATGCATTAGTTGCAAGAAGTACATTTAATTAAAACAAAATATGTATTAAAATATCTTAAAAATACAATAAATCACAATATATTATTTTGAATAGATGAAAAAAGAAAATTACATACTTTTATTGATACAATTTTTTCTTGAAATCTAGACTCTTGAAAATTGGTTACAAGAATTATACACAAACTAGGATCTTTTCTAATTCATTAGAGCTGCAATTTGTAAGAAATAATAGCATTATCTATAATAAAAGTAAAATATAGAGCTTTATTTGTATTTTCAAGAGAAGTGATTTATCTCAAAGGATTGACTTAAAAATTACAAATTCAAAGAAAAGAACCAAAAAATATCTTCAAAAATAATATAAGTTGTATCAAACTAGAAAATCATTTAGCTATGTAGGTAAGAACAAATATATTGAATTACAACATCACTATGTAAGAGAGAAGATACAAGATAGGAGTATTGAAGTAAACTTTATTTCCAATAAACATCAGCAAGCCAACATCTTGACAAAACCTCTAAGTGGATTTTGTCATCAATAGAATTATGAAATGAGAGGATTATTAAAAGTTCTATGTAGAATAAAGATCAAATGTTTTTTTATAGATAAAAACAAAGATATAAAAGCTAAAAAAAAACCAAAGATGAAAGAGTTTTAAGATAGCATTGTGCTTCTAATAAAGTTTTGAAACCTTTGAATTTAGTATGAAGGAAATGTTTTACCTCAACTTCATATGTTGACCAAGAAATATATATATATATATTCTTAGGTGTCGGCCTTGTTGAATTGTATAAAATTTTGATGGTTTTGAAATGCTACAAGTAATTCTAAAAAGACTAAAAGCAAAGTTATTTTAATGCTGGCCAAAGGTTAACAACAAGATTTGATGAAGAAAATTCATAATATAATGAAAGAGTCTTAATATCAAAGTATCAAATAATTGAGCTAAAACAAAAAAAACATAATTATACATATAAGACAACACAAATAAAATACATCAAAAAAATTGGAAAATAAACATAAGAAAAAAAAAAAGAAAGAAAATCACAAATAAAAAATAAAAGAATCATCAAATACAATGATTAAAGAAAAATTGCAATCTCAGTAGTAATAAAGTGTAAAAAAATAAGTAACATATTAAATATAAAAAACTAGAATTGATGAAAAGTATTAGATATTATAAAAACAATCTTAATTTAGGTTATATCATTCTTGTTATATTAGTTATGAGTCATAGTATTAATTTAGAATAAAAATAGATATTGAATCTATTATTATTATATGGCATAAAAAGCTTATTATTATAAGATAATATATATATATATATATATATATATATAATATTTATTGCATGTTTAAAATATATTTTAATAAAAATGAAAGAAGTATAATATCTTAGAAATCTTCAACAAACCTCTTATCTAAACTTCTCATTTTAAGATATCCTACCTTAAATATTATAAGGTTGACCAGTCAAATGGAACTAATGACTAGTTGATCAAGTCATGCCTTCTATAGTCTACAAGTTATGGAATACAATTGTATTTTTTTGTACATCTTTGTATATAGAGTAATTCCCGAGATTAGTAATTGATTTTATGAGGAAGAAATTCACCACACACAAACAAGAATATAAGATTGAAGTTCAAACCAAATTAAATGCTTAATTTCAAAATTTTAAAAAATAATTAATATTATGTGAAATATGGAATAGAATAGGTAGATTGAAAATAGAAAATATTCTCCAAAATAAATATCCAACCACCCTTGTCACTACATTGTTGTATTGTAATACACCTATATAGTAAAAATATAATCAAAAATAAATTTTTAATTCATATTTTATCATCTTGATTTAATAATAATTCAAAAAATTTAAAAATGGTTTTTATAAATATCTCTTAATTTATTTTCTTGTCTTAATAGCTAGTAGATTAAAGATTGATTAATAATTTTATCTTTTAGGCTATAGTAACTTTTTTACTACCTTAGAAAGGCCATAAATTGATAAAAATATGGTATAAGAGATAAATAAGTAATATGGTTGATACTAAGATTAAGTTGAAATTAGGATCAAGATAAAAACCTCTAAGATAGGTTGGATTGATATCCACAAGTCAACCGTTTGTAGAACAGGGTCGAAATCAGACCTCTAGTCACTAAAGCAGTTGTCTAAGACTGAATATGTGAATATTTGGAGATTGGCAATTAGAATTGGAGAGCTAGCTTCAAGATTCTTCTAGAAGTAAAAGGCTTGTTTTTATAGGATTTGGGATAATTTTGCAATTATTGTTCAAAATTAGAATTTGTATTGGTGACTTTGGATTTATGCAATATATTTAGAGATAGAACTTTTGGCTAATTTGTGTAATTGATGTTACATCTACAATTCAAAATTTGATAGTACTTAATTGATTAGATGTGTTAAATGTGCATAAAATTTTATGTTAATTTAAGAGGGCAATTGGGAGATATTTGGTTTTTGATACAAAAAGATATTGAAAATTGGTAGTTTGAAATTAAGTAGGATTTCTATGATATCTAAAGATCTATTAGTTGAAACAAGGTGAAATTTGACATGGTGTTAGAAGAATTAAAGATTAATCTATATACTAATTTTGAATTAAAATTAAAAATTAGAGAAAGAAAAATCACTATTGAAACATCTACATCAACTTTCAAGTTGGTGGCCAAGTGACATTAATGTGGTTTTTTGGACATTTTTTCACAATCTCTAAGTTGAATTGAGCTAAATTTTATTGAACATATAAAAGAATTATAGTGGTATTTGTATACAAAATTTTGCATCAAGTAGATGATCAAATTAGGAGTTACAGCTTGTTGAAGCTTACTAATTAGGATTAGGGCTTATAAAGAGAAATCAAAATTCCCTATTTATAAAAGTAATAAAGCAATTGGAGTTTGTGTATGGTTGAGATTATTAAGGAGAATGTTTTGAGTACTTTTTATTAGATTTAAATACTTTTGAATTGAAATTTGAATTGCATTCTTTTTATATGGATGAAACCTATTAGGATTTCTTGGATATTTGTAAAATACAACTTCATCTTCCACAACCAAGTACTTGGTGTATTTTCAAATAAGACAACACATAATACAACAACATATTGCAGAAACCTCTCTATTTAATTAACTAGCTTTGTTATCATAGGTTGTGAGTTTGCAAGTGTCTGTCAAATACAACCATTGATTGAATTATTAGAAATAGAGGGAAGAAATATAAGAGAAATAGGGAGGCAAATAAGTTGAAGGCTAGGTAATTTAGAGAGTAGTAGATTGAAAATTCAAAACTTATTCCTTATTGGGCCTACACTAATCTACATTCACATATATGTATATATTACTTGAAAACATATATCACAGCCTCTAGACGCAATTATACTGCCAACCCAGAGCATCACCAATGACAATTAACTAGTGACATAAGAGATAACAAGATGATGAAGAATGTCCAAGGTACATCCATGGTGGCATTGGTCTGGTTTGGGTTTGGTGGTGGCGTTGAAGGGCACGCTACACCATTACCATCTCCGCAATTCTGAAAAATTCCTCCTGGGTAACTCCCTTGATAGTTGAGATTGGCGAACAGATCAGTTGCACAGAGTAATGTTTCGTTGTTGAGGAGATCAGCATAGGGACACGCGAGTAAAGCAAATGATTCGCAGCAAACCGTTTGGTTATTAACCTCCGACATGTTATGATCCTGGATTACTTTGCAAACGCTGGTCACCACGGTGTAATTTATTGTACTGAATTCTATTGGACAGTCTGCACATTTACGCATACGTTCACATACGCATTTAGTCCGCAACAATGCAACTAACTGTACTACCAAGTGCACTATCTGCACAAACGTAGTCAACGTGTTTCTCTCTTTCACAAAGGTTTCCACTTGCACAAGAGGGTCACAATCGTGCAGATTTCTGGGATAAACATACACTTCAGCATGGCTATGCAGGAATAGGGACAGAAACTCACGTCCTTGTGTCTGGAGAATATGCCTGGTAAGAAATCCAGCTCCAAAAGTCTTTACTTCGGACTCTCCATTGCCAGTTGCTAGATCTCCTGAACCTTCACTGTCAAATGCCATGGTCAGCATTTCTGTCAGGGTTAACCGTGTCTAAAAAATGAACCACGTGAACAAAGCACATGATCGAGTGAGCAGAAACAACTCCCAGAAAAACCATGATCCAAAATTAGGATACAGGCCCAATGCACCATAGGAGATCACTCAAGCCCTCCCGGAGGCTTACAGTTAGGAGGGCCCTGCGAATCCTCAGACCCGTGAATTTAAGTAGTGAATTTAAGAAAAGCGCACTAAAATCTAGGTTACAAAGTAAGATTCTTACTCGCGCCAGTTAGAAAGCCCTGGCATCATGTAATAACAACAAAATTTATCACTATCCTGCTTCTAGTCGCAAAATCTCGCAGCCCTTCGTCGCCCCTTGCGTGAAACCGCCACACAGAAATGCCTACGAGCTCTTCCTTCTCAGATTCATCGTTACACCGAGTGCACAGTCTGGATAGCGTGGGACGATAGACAAAAGTGGCATGTGAAATGCAAAATAGTCATGCATCTAACCTTGCTACCACGGTTCTCCAGTCGTCGGAGGGGCATTCACGTAATAAAGATTGAACCGAAACCGAATCTGCACACATCTTGAAAGCTCTCGCTCACCTGCGACAGAGATCACGCAGAGAAATAAGACGACGACGCAAGAAAGCGGAGACCCCACAAACTTCGACGCCATAGTGAACACCGACGAGCTGAGTCCGATTTACCACACGCATCCACCTCCAACACCATGAGACTTCAATGAAAGGGACTCATCGAAGCGACTCACTGTACCGATTCTCGCAGCTCTGGCTGTGGTGATCGAACGCGGTGTCCGATGCGATCAAACCAAAACGAGGTCGCCGCTGCCGCGCGTCAATGGCGAAAGTCCCCACTGACCAATGCCGGCGAAGATTCTAACTCATCCAGAGATGTTCTCATTTACCATTCGTGACCCGTCCCAACGCACTCGTGGACTCGTGCTACCCTATTCGCTCCACCGCAAATAAGTTGCTTTCCCTACTACAGGATTCTGGCTTTTGCATTTTCCTGACAATGAACCACAGATCTTGCCTTTATGGGCACTTGTTTCTTCTTTGGGTATGTGGACCGTACTTTCGTCATCTAAATACGACGCTACCGTATACCTCTGTTGACTTTGACTACCGGTTGGGAAGAGGACAACGGCTTTTTCTAATGATGGAATCTGCTGACGAATACGTTGAAATTGGGTGTTGTCTGTATCCTTACAGTAGATTTGCCAACCTGACATCCAATTATGTAATTTAAAGTCACCACTGGCTGCTTTGCAGTGGAACTATAAATTACTGTGTGATGCTGAAATGCTTTGTTTGGAACGGTTTTTTCAAAAAATGTCCAGCGTTGAGTGTTTGGATCTAGATGTGAATATTACTTGATACACAAGGGCACCCATTAGTTATGATTTCTTTACAATTCTTTTAAAACTTCATAAAGATTTTTTAAGGATTTTATTAGAGTTTGATTAGAATCGTTAGGTTCTTCATTAGTTACAAAATACAAGTTTACCTTCTATAATAAAGTATTCAATGTATTCTCAAACAAGAAGACACATAATACAATAGCAAATCATAAGATCACTATATATAGATATATTAACAATGTATTAACTAATGTTGTTAATATAACTAATGATGGATATTAACTAATATAACAACTATTTTGCTAAAACCACCACAATTTACCATTTGATGCATGGTCCTCCACAATCTTACACACTCTTTTTGAACATTCTTGTTGTACCTTCTTCTCATGTAATATTTTCATATGTAATACATCAATTATTTTCTTTATAATTTTTTACAAGAATTTTCTTTTCTATAGAGCTTAATATTGCTAATACCTTTAGAAGTTTTGAAACTTTAATCTTTTATGTCCAAATGGTGGACTTAATTGCAAGTTATGTAATTATGATAAAACATCTTAATAGCTTTGACAATTCCTTAAGATGGTCTATAATCATATTGCAGACATCAATATTGATATATATATTTTTAGTAATACAAACATAATTATATAGAAGTACATAAAAGTATATTAATTTGATAATATCATAGTACTTAGATTAATAGAAGCTTCATAGCTACAAGTATTACTTTATAAGTATTTGTAGGTGATTGGTAGGTTGAAAACTAGGCTATGTGTCAAGGACAAGAACTCGATGAAAAAACAATTCAGACAAGTGAGCCTTCACTCAAAGAGAAGTAACAAAATATATATAAACAAGTATATATATTGAAAGAGAAACTGGAATGGCTATTGCCAAAAGACAAGAAAACTAGAGACCCTTGAAACTAGACTAGAAACAAGAAAGGAGTTGACAAGAGTGAAGAAGCCTTCACTCTTATCTCTATATATACTATCGAACTAGGGGCTACGTGGCGACGTTCTATAGGACCTCCAATATGTGTTGACTTTGTAGGACACATGCCTTGACTTACAAGGCAAGTTTTTTTGCATGTGGGCCATATAGTTAGCTTGATCTTCAAGCTAACAACATGTGTGGCACATGGCCAACTTGTTGACCACGTTTCTAATCCAAAAAGTCAATTAAAGACACCTATGAAGTCAAAGCAGCGTCTAGGACGTTTCTAGGAAGCTTTCATATTAAATATTATAGAATTAACTTACTTTTATCTACTTTTACTTACTTCTACCTATTTCTATATGTAATTATTAGCTTACATGATTATGGCCATGACATTACCCCCCCTTCTAGAGACGAGTTCCACGAGGAGCGGTTATCATATGTTGAGGAAATCTATGATGCGACGAATTGTATTCGCCACATACTCTGATCTCTGTTCTCTTCGAAGATGATTGATAGGGCCTCTCAACCATCAGTAGTGTCCCATACCAGGACGAAAAAACCACCCGGTTATTTGATCATTGTTGAGGCCTTCGTAACTTCGTTCGAATAGAATATTTGGAACACCATCAGGAGTTGTTCCTACCTCTAGCAAAATCACCAAACATCGGGAGTCCCTTCCCAAATCGTGATACCAAACGTGTTGTATCTCACCATCTATTCGAGGAAGAACATGTCGTTCTTGAAGATCTTCATCTCGATTACGTCGTCTTGAAGGTTGTGACAATCGTAATGTCTCGTCTGGTAGGTCAGCAAATGAAGGCTCTTGAGTTGAATCCGTTGGTTGTTGGTTCTCCATCTCTTGAGTGCCACTACTACAATGAAGCTACAAACAAGAATTGAAAGTAGAATGTTATCATGCCTAGATGTTGTTTCTTTTATAAAGAAGATTTTCAACTTGATTTTGATGGATGTCGTCGATGAAAAGCCTCCACCGCCTTTGTTGCATTTGCAAGATTCTTTATTGGCTCCCATAAGCGTTTACTAATACCATATCTGTGCCAATGGACAAGATATTCTAATTTATTTCAGCGTCGCTTTGAATCTAAGACTTCTTCTACTTCAAACTCTTCATTATTGTCCACTTCTATAGGAAGAGGTGGAGCTTGTCGTCTTCTTGGTATGTCCACTGTCTTGTATGGTTCAAGAAGAGACACGTGGAATATTGGATGGATTTTCATTGACTCTGGTAGATGTAAATGATATGCAACTGGATTGATTTATACAAAAATAGAAAATGGTCCCAGCCTTCGATAGTCCAACTTGTCACAAGGATGAGTGGTCTTGATATTGCGACGAAGTAGCCATACCTTATCACCCAAGACGAATGATGGTTGTTCCTTTCGATAGACATCTGCATTGACCTTTTGTTGTTCTTGAGCCTCTTTTAACTACGCCTTCATCATTGCATGTAGCTCTAATAAATGAATTGCTAAATCTTTCGCAGCAGGATTATCAACTTTTGAAAAGTCAAAGGTATCAAGTCGTGGATGATAACCATAATTAGCAAAGAAAGGTGTTCGTTTGGTAGAAGAGTGTACCGTGTTATTGTAAGCAAACTCTGCCAATGGCAAAAGAGTTGTCCAATCATCTTGTTGATAATTAATGATACATCTTAAATATTGCTCCAAAACTTGATTAACACGCTCCATTTGTCCATCAGTTTGAGGATGGAATGTCGAAGATAGTTTTATATCTACTTTAAGAATCTTGAAAAGAGTCCGCCAAAATCTTGATACAAATTGAGTTCCCCTATCTGATATAATATCCTTGGATAATCCATGATAGCGATAGATATTGTCAAGAAAGAGCTTAGGTGTTTCTTCACCTGTGATAGATTTTGTACATGGTACAAAATGTGCCATCTTGGTAAAACGATCTACTATCACGAATATAGAGTCATAAGAACCTGAAATTGGAAGATCCATGATGAAGTCCATAGAAACAAAAGACCATGGTTGTTCTGGAATGGGTAATGGCTGAAGAAGTCCAAAAGGTCGATGACGAGGAGTTTTCAATCTTAAGCAAACATCACATGATTGTACAAAATCTTTAACTGCCTTCCACATTTGAGGCCACCAAAAATCCCTAGATATCAGCTCCAAAGTCTTATTATATCTGAAATGTCCTGCTACTGGGAAGTCGTGACGAGCTTGAAGAACACGTAAACGTACTTCTCCTTCTGGAACATATAGGCGTCCTTCGAAATAGAGTAGGTTGTTCTTGAATTCAAATTTAGATGGATCATGAGATTTAGAAGAATTATTCTTCATATCATGAAGAAGAAGGTCTGAAGACATACTTAACTGGACTTGCTTAAGGAAAGTTAAATCAACAGTCAATGTTGATTTTATTGCTCGAAGATGAAATTATTCCGCCTTCAAGAGAACCGTTCTTTGTTCCTCAAAAGCTGCATCTCCTTCTTTTGGTACAAGATAAGAACGTCTACACAAGGCATCGGATAAACCTTGTTGTTTTCCTGGTCGATAAGTGATGATGAACTCGAATCTTGATAAAGACATGCTCCAACGAGCTTGGCGATGATTTAATACGCGTGCTCACATAAAATATTCGAGGTTCTTGTGATCCGTATACACGGTGACTGGACTAGAAGCGCCTTCTAGATAATGACGCCATTCTTGAAAAGAATCCACAATTGTAAGAAGTTCTTTGTCATGGATCTCATAATTGATTTCTGCTGCTGAGAATTTTCTTGAATGAAAGGCTACTGGATGAAGTTTGTCATCTGTTCCTCATTGTGATAAAACCGCACCCAGAGCAAAGTCCGATGCATCTGTTTCCATAAAGAATACTTTGGAAAAATCAACATGATATAAGATTGGTACAGAAACAAACGCTATCTTCAAAGATTCAAAAGCAACTTCCGCTTCTTGATTCCATTGGAGTTTGTCTTTACAAGTCAAACGTGTAAGTAGAGCTGCAACTCGAGAGAAGTCTTTGATGAAGATCCGATAGTAGTTGGCAAATCCCAAAAAACATTGGACATCTCTTACCGTTTTTGGGATCTTCCAGTCTATAATAGTTTGAACTTTCTTAGGATCCATCATAAGTCCATCATTTGAAATGATGTAACCTAAGAAATGGACTTGAGTAGTGTGGAATACACACTTTTCTATCTTGACATAGAGTCCTACATCTCTTAATTTTTGTAACACACGACGAACATGAAGTTCATGTTCTTTTAGATTCTTAGAATAGATCATAATGTCGTCTAGATAACATACCACAAAATCGTCCAAAAACTCTCGAAAAACATCATTCATTAAATGTTGAAAAGTTTCTGGTGTATTTGTAAGTCCAAAAGGCATGACGTTGTATTCAAAATATCCATACCTAGTTCGAAACGCAGTCT